TTTGGAAGCGTACAGAATATATTCGTGATCATCCCAGAACTTTTTTGGAAATTTCAGGTAAATTTTCGTGTATATCGATAATGGGTTTTTATAAATGGCCTCTTTTTTCCAATCAGGAAGGGCTGGCTCGAAAGTAACCAAGTCGCTGGCCAGAACTCCGGAGCTGAATGTACAAAGAGCGTAATCTGCCTGGTAACTCCAACCATCGGAGGTCTGAGCTTCAACCGAATCCGGGTTCAGCTTGATTTTTGTGACAGTTTTGTTCAATAAAGTTTTCTTTTCTAGTGGCTTGTAGAGGTCTTCATACAACGTCCACAATCCGCGCTCGTCAGTAACGAAAAAATCCTTTCCACGCTCAAACAAATTGTAGAAAGAAAACTCTTCTGGTGGTTTGGCGTACTCAAAATCCACATTCAGATATTCAATGGCTCTTTCTATGGGTCGTTTTCCTTTCCATCCCATCAGCTGAAAACCAACACGCGCTGGCATGTCAGAAAGTTTATTTAGCCTCCTCTCATTTTGGTAATCTTCAATTTTGTGCTCCACTTTATCATTAAACTCCTTGAGAACTGCAAAATCAGTGATATCTTTGCCTTTATCGTCCCTGCAAAATTATATTGAAAAAGAAAGTTTCTGTAGAACAAATGACGATATGCGATATTTAATGGATGGCCCCTATTCCAAGAGAGTTTATCAACTAGCGCAAAATGCGACTGTTACACTCAATTTCCTTCTTTTAAAGAGTATAAAGCGTGATCCTGTTGATACGGACTCGTCTTACCTCACAATAATGTCTGAGTAGTTGCAAGTGATTGCACGAATATTTTTTGCGTCTTTTCGTTCTACATGAGGTTTAGTTTCGTCATCATCTACCAAATGGATCCAGTTGGCTCCCGCTTCAATCGTATAGTTCGCAAATTTCAAGGCATGTATTCTGCCTCCCGTGTAGTTCTCTCCCTCGAGAATCAGAATGTCGGTGACGTTTCTGTCCAGTAGCGTCTTCGCTGCTCTGATTCCGGAGAGTCCGGCACCAAGGATAAGGACTTTGGTCTTTTTTTGTTTCAATGGTGAAGACGATGAACTGTCCACAAAAAACAGCAAACTCAGAACTAGGATGACTCTTAAGGCAATGTTCATTCTGTAAATAAACAAAAAACATTCATCTGAAAGTGGTCGTTAGCACATGATCAGGGATATTGAAGCGTTTAAGAATCCCTTTGAATTTTACTGACCAAGTGACTTTGCACAGCTGATTCCAGGAAATCCTCCAGATGTGCTTAGAAACAAGAGGACCCCAAGATCAGCCTATGACCGTGCTTAAAAGCAAGTTATATATAGAACCATTTCAGAATCTGTCTAATGCTGATACTTTTTCATTGTCTGTTTTTTCGTTTGTGGTAATTCCAGAATTAGCGTCTTAGAAGGCGACTCTGTATGCAATATTAATCAGCAATGATAGAAACCTTGTAAGTTGCACACTATCTTTTATGTGTCTCTTCTACAGTAAGCAATCGATGCAATAAGAATCATAGCTACAATTTTGATCGACTTGAGATAGGCTTTTAATAGCCTGTTACACACCCCTCCGAGAAGTTCCTCACTAGAGTCAACTGAGGGGATAATGGGTTTTTAATTCCAAAAGATGTCAGATTAATCGAATGAAGTTCAACTTTTCATTTCTTTAGCCTTGACTAGCCAACTTCTTAATGAGTTTCTAAAAAATCTTCACTAACCGCACCTCTTTTTTCACCGTTGGCATCAATGGTATGATAAAAATTTGTCTTAAATTGTGCCCGGTTGAATCTCACATAGTCGCGCAAAACAAAGTTGATCCTTCGTATTTAACTTGTTGGATAATATATCAGTAGTATCAACCCGTGTTTTCCCTGCTCTTCATTTACGCTGGTTTTGCACAGATTCTTTTAAAATGACATCCGATCTTGGTATGGTCGCCAAACAATAACATTATTTGGCGAAACCAGACGGTATCTATTCTGGGCAACACTGGAGTCATATTGTCGGCACCTTTGATAATGTCTACCTCTTGACACCCGTGTTGCCGGATTTCGATGTCTTCTTTCGCATACTTCGACATTGCTTTGATAAAACTGTGACTTCAATGAATCTAAATTGGCTTGTAGAGAGGAAGGTTCGGTCTGATTCCATGTATAAACAACAAAGTAAAACAGAGAAGAACCTGTCGTGCGCGCCTATTACGCAACATGCACAGGATGTGCATGTTGCGTAATGGACGCGTAAAAGGCATGTTGCACAAAATTAATTAGTGACTTTCTGAAGCTCAAATAACAGACACACACAAAAAAGCAATAGTCGGCCTAGATCTAGTGTCGGGCCAACGCAATGCAAAAATCGTGATGTTGTTAAAAGTGTAGGGGGCGAATGGAAGATATCTTAGGATTATCATATCACCAACAAGACAGTATGCGTCCTTGTTTGCAAACCGTATCAGGTTTGCTATCCTTGAATTGTGGACGAGGTCTTCCTCTATTAACCTCTGCAGTAACTTTCTCTATCTTTCTCAAGGACTCAATCAATCACAGTGTTTGCTTCTAATCTTAGCGAAATCACAATCAAACCTTGAAACTAATGAGTTCATAGGGCTATTACATATCAAATTCACGATTGAAATGGGCTTCCCAAATTTCGGTTAAAATCGCCACTGTTTAGTACATGTGGTCACAAAAATGATGATAAACCATAAAATCGAGCAGAAAACATGTCTGGTCTAAGTCATATGATATTCAAATATTAATGGTTAATTCTAAGTGAGAGATTCTTCCACCTAACTGCCCAAACCTTAATCCAGGAGGTTGAAGTACTTGTCTGTGACGATGAAGAAGACGTCTACCCCATGAACATGATTTGGCTTAGCGAGAATTTCGAATATTTTAAATAAAATCTCTTTGTTTTCTGGTGCACGTTTTTCCTGTAGCACGCTCTTTCCCGAGGGTTGGCATTCAAAAGAGGTACGAAAATAAGTTTGAGTGCAGACATGATTCTCGCAGATTAATTGCAGAAACTGAGATCTGAGAGAAGCCCGGAAAAAACTTCTGCATCGAAGAAATTCGAACCCATGCCTCTCAGATACTAGTTGGGTGTTGCTATCAACTGAGCTATGTTTGCAAACGTTGGAAACAAACGATCTTCTTGTAACAACTTTATTGATTTTGATTTTAATAAAATTGTTATAAGTAAGTTTCTTGACCCTGGCTGAGTTACTCCTCAAAGGAAATGAAATTGCGAAATTTAAGTTCCAACAAACGGTCCACATCGAACAAGATGAACCGGACTTGTATTTCGAAGTCAAATCGAACAAGATTTAGTTTTATAACCTACTGGTTACCGTTAGTGACCTGCAAAATTCATTCATCAATTTTCACAACTTCGTGTGGCAAAACTCATTCTCTGCGGCGAAAGCCGTGGAATTTTCCGATCCGAATTGTGTTCAGTATTCCTAAGAAAGCTTAAGAGTCAGAATGTAAGCTGTATACAGTCAAAATTACTACCAACCTTCGACGAAGAGATGGAAATCCGAATGTAATAGTTTCCAGATGCTGAAGACAATCACGCCTACATTGTTTGTTTTAAGCGATAGTTATATTTCAATTGACCTAGCTTGACATTTTGGGCTTAGACTTCACGTGTAGTGTCACGTAACTTTTGATGTAAACAAACCCCGAAAGTTCGGACATTGAGTCGAGCTCGCAGCACATGTATCCAAATTTCGGCTTTGTAAATTTTCTTAAATAACTGCCCACTTTCAAGAAACGTTTCTTCGCTCAAAATTGGCATCTTTCTTTTATCACTTATTTGATCGTGTGTCAAGCAAGTTGTCATTTCGCTGCCGTTGAAGCAGACGCGAAGAGTGTTACAGGAAGTTTTGCGGCATGGAATAATCGGACTAGTTCTGCGTACAGTGATGTATCTGATCAGGTATTTTCAGGGTGTTTAGTGCGTAGATTGTCAAATAAATCCCCGTCTGACAGGAGATTAGTGCCCACGAATCGCTATAGAACGCGAGGAAGCATTGATTCCCAAAAATAACACCGATTTTAACTCTATGAACGTGTACGATTGCAGTTGTTTTGTAAGTGCATACCTAAACATACTGGTTACGACAAAGAGACGTGCTTATGGCACCTGCAAAAACGATTCACGATACCTCAACCCCTAGGTAAGAAACACTAACGGCGACCCGGTCAAGTTTTCCCATTTTCCGGGGGCAGTTAGACAAAGGAGAGAAGGCAAAGGTGGATAAGGTCATGTCATCGAGGTGAAGTGAGAATAAGGCAGAGGTTCCCCATTCTCTGCCTTATTATGTTGATTTTTGCTGAATTTAACCTCTTAAATCATTACTTTCGTAATCAGCATTGTCTCAAAGGTTAGAGGGGGAGCTGGGAGGAATATACGACGGGATTTTAGTCTAGGTGACCGCCGAGGGCTTAGTCAGGATATCCCAGGGGTGTTTCCACACTTACATCTCCCGGAATACCGGGTTGTCAAATCATCATATAACAATTTTAGGGCTTTCTCTTTCCATACAGTAGAGGGGTTACATGCGTGCCAGGAGTGCCCCCTTCCCAGATCCATTTCCTCAATTGACACCAGCGTTAGTGAAAATGAACGGAAAAATGGGAAAGAAACATACGGCGAAAATTCGAGAGCAGGTTTTTCGCGATTGTTGCATCTTTGTGCCTACAAAATATGAATAGTTATGAAGTCGCAAAAATATTGTGCTGACGATAAAGGAAATATATGGGTCAAGTCAGTGGCACAATTTTTTTATTTTTATTTTTTTTTGTTTACCCCTGACGAACAATATACAGTTGAATTGATACAGCTGACTACAACTTTGGTCAACAAACGCGGATTTATCTGAAGCTTCTTGGCTGGTACATAACCTTTCTTGTGAGTTAAATATCTTTCATCGACCATTCCAGTGAAAGCTCCTATCGAACATTCGACAACACTCGAAAATAAACAAATCGTCTTTAACTACCAGAGCGCTTTTCGATTGAGTGTCCTAAAACCGAAACCAAAGTGATCACAATCAGAAGAAAAGGAAATACCCTAAAGAGCCAATGAGAACTCAAAGCAAACCGACCAATCAGCCTAAAGGCGGGAAATCGCGGGTGACCAAGTCGTGATTGCTTTTGGTTTTGCATCTGATTGGTGGACAGGATGGCGCACAATAGCCTACGTGAAGCGATAGGCCGTACACCCCTCCCCCCTTGGAGAAAAGTTTCTCCTTGAGGGGGGAAGGGTAGTTGAAAGTTCCAAGCAGATCTAAGAGGTGTAAAGTAAGAGAGTCTCATCGTCCAGTGTTGACGTGTTTAACCCCACCCCTCCAAGCAAGTTTTATTTAAGTGTCCCTTTGAACCCAGGCTCACAGTTATTCAATAGAATCGTTCAACCGCCTAAGATTGAAGAGGTCGGAGACTTTAACATCTTCGGTGTAAAAATCGAAGTATACTGCCCTCTCGTGACATCGTTGTTAACTATGAGAACGAGAAGTTCAGATTTATGCTTCAACAGCAATTAGCGCCCTAGTTTTCAGAGCACCCTCTTTAATGACAATGATTCCACAAAAGCATTCTAATCACAAGAGTATTTTCGCCACAGGCAAAAATAATTCTTAATTTCGCCATTTCTAAGCGCTCATTTTCTTACTAAAGCCTAACTTTTTGTTTCTTTTTTACGATTTTCAGATTACTGGCAGCACTTTTCAAACCAAGGTTTCCAGGATTCCCTCACTTCTGCAACTAAGAAAACGCAATAATCACTCATGATCGATATCAATGAATTTCATTAAAAGGGACTGAATAAAACATCTGACAATTGTGGGATTAGCCCTTAATATGCTTAACTATAGGTAACCAAGCTCATACGATATGACAATAGATTTCATATAAACACTGACTCCTTGTATACCCCTCTTCTCATTAAAGCATATTCCTATACCCATTTGCGGTCTACTAATTGTCGGCTCCATAACAACACAGCAAAGTTATCTTTCTACAATGTTTACGATAGCGTAGCTCCTTGACATCAAAAATTTTGCTTGTTGTAACCTTCCCAAAAGAAGCCAATATACAGGACAACTTAGAGTCTTTATT